TCAAGGAAAGGAAGATGGAGAAGGGTGAGGAGAGGTACTACAAATTAGGGGGGGGGGGGAGGAAGGCTCCTTCAAGCTAAGTGTGTCTCCTAGTCACATCACACACACAGAGAAAGAGATATAATTCCCTTGGCAAAAATAAGGAAGTAGATTGACCCTGCCTTTTTGGGGATATTATTTTTCAAGTTCCCACTCTGGCCCATTCCCTTGGACTTTATGGCGACTCCCACATCCCACCTTGGCTTGGCTATTAAGTAAAGACGAGAAAGACTCCAGGGAAAACAGAGACTTCCTTTGCAGAGACTTCCCAATCTAAGCATGCTTGTCTCCTCTGGTGTCAAGGTCCTGGCGTGAAGATTGCTGATAGCCCTGCAGCAGAAGTCTGAGGGCAAAGTAACACAGTGAGGAATCAAATGATTTCCTCCAAAGGAGGAGTCACCCAAATCCAGCCTAACTCCTCTTTCTTTTGAGTCACCAATCCAGGAAGCCAGATGGAACGAATTGGATAGCCACCTCTGCTAGATCACTGGTTCTCAACCTGTGGGTCGGGACCCCATTTGGGGTCGATCGACCATTTCATGGGGGTCGCCAAGCAAGACTGTCCGCCATTTTTTTTGTCCGCCATTTTTTTTTTGTCCGCCATTTTTCCCCCCTTTTCCGGCGGGTGCCTTACCTTCCTTGGGTTGGGCCAGCTGGTGGTCGACCTGCTCCGTCTCTGCCGCTTGCCAACTACACCTCGGCCGGCGCAGGGGGCGGAACCACGCATGCGCGGCGCTCCCGGGCAGGGAAAGCCCTCGACTTACGACCGGTTGGGTAGTCCTCGACTTACGACCGGTTTAGTCCTCGACTTACGACCAGTTGGGGTCGCGGCATTAAAAAGGTTGAGAACCACTGTGCTAGATGCTTTATGAACAGATATCAGCCATCTTAAACATCCTCTCCACAAGCCACTTTGCTTGCAGAAGCAACAGATCTCGCAACCAGTGCTTAAAAATAATTCACACTCTACAAAGCATAGACCCAGGCCCTGAGTAGAAAAGGCATCCTGGTAAATCACATCCCTCAAGAAAATCTAGATAAATGGTTAGCCTGCGCTGATTATATCATCTTATACCCAAGGACAGTCCTATTGGCCCTGCGCGATTCACCCCTCGCGCAGGCCTGGCCCATTAAGATCTCCAGGGCCCACCTTGAGGATGGGGTTTGGAACCCCGAGAGGTGGCATGCTGCAGGCACTAGCCAAAAATTTCGGAAATTGGCCAAATTAAGGCTCTTTTTAAAGGGGTGTTTTAATAAATTTTTAGGGGG